CATCTATTTTGTTAATTCTATATCCATTTTTTTAATTCATTATCATCAGAATTAATTTGTTTTATTTCCACTAAAGTCAAATTTATTAATCCATTTCATTTTGTTATTCTCAGGGAAATTCCTCCCCTATATTCTTTTTTAATTTTTTATTGTACGATTGATAAGTATTAATAATACTGATATATATTTATCGACTATATTATAAATGTGGAGATGAATATATATTGATAATAGAAATTATAGTCTATAATTTATTAAAGATTGAAATACAATATTTACAAAAATTAACATTTTGTTAATGGTTAATATATAATAGTTAATATATAAGTTAAAATTGGTATAATATATAAGTTAAAATTGGTATAATGCAAATAAAATTTTACAGGATTTGTCAACAACAATAGAGGAGCATATTATCCACGCTGATTGATGTTTATAATATTTTAGAGTATAATATCTAATTAATGATTAAACTTTAGTTGTAAATGATTAAATTTTAGTTGTAATTATAATTAAATATTGATTTTATTCTTTACTTTGTACTTAAATAATATTCTTTATACATCTTTTACTTTATTTGATGTAAAATAAAGAATGTTCTTTTACTATTTTAGCAAATAATAATTTTAATAAAAAGCGAAACAAATTTTTTAATGAAACCTGGTTTTTTTATACTCCCTATCTTTAGTATGCACGTCTTAATAGTAAGCACACCAACGAAGGAGGGTGAAGGGAGAATACAGAGAGCAGCAAAAAGAAACAAAATAACCTGAAAAGAATAGATCAGCTGGCAAGTGATAAAGTATTTTTAATCGTATTTTAAAGCGAGTGGAATATAATAATATATAATGCGTGTAATAAGCAATAAAAACACATTCTAATAAAAATGGTGATTCTGTTTGCACGGTAAAGATTTAAGTAACAATTACACATTAAGTTACAAATCAGGGTGGATATTAAATTTCCAAAAAGATGAGGGCTATATTGATATTCGATCACCTGAATGATGTGTTATTCGTAAAGTGCAATAAAAAATTTACGCGCGCGCGCGCGCGCGCGCGCGCGCGTGCCATACTCCTC